TTTGCTTTGCTCTGACTGGTCTTGTGACCCCTTGTTCTCCCCCACTTTGCCTATGGGGGTGTGTCAAACATTATATCTGTTGTTGTTGTTTAGGCTACAGTGGGTTAGCCTTTAGGGGGTACACAAATTCTAGGGTTGCATATTTGTACTCACATTCTTGCTAGTCATTCCCATTCCTGCCAGTTAGTTTCAACACGTTACTCCAAGCAATATTACCTGCCTCCATTCCTGCTGTTTCCATCTTAGTAGTAGCCGCAGATGCTAGCTTTGGAGGATTGGAACCCCATACTCCTCCCCTTTCCTTGATATAATCTTGTGGAAAGTTAAGCTTTGCTGTTGATCCTCGTATTTCAAAGGCAGCTTCATCAAACGCCCTAGCAGCCTCCTCTGCAGAAGGGAACGCGGCCAACCAATTGCGGACGCCGCCGCTAGCAACGTACTTGAACGCCCCTCGCTTCCTCACTCCCCGGTACTTCCCTTCCTGGTTGTAGTTTTGGTTGCGCGTTAATGTCGTGCGTTTTGCTCCAGAATCTGATGGCCTTGCACCACTGGTGGCACCTGCAGCAGCCTCATCTTGCGGTAATTGCGGCTGCAGCGGCGGCAGTAGCTTTGAAAACGCTTGCTTAGCCGCCTGTAGCTGTGGCTGTAGCTGTTGCAGTTGTGTTGTATAGACTGGCTGTGGTACAAACTGCTGCTGCTGGTGCTGCATCTGCATCTGCTGCTATTGCAACTGCTGCTGCCGCAGTGGCTGCTGTGGTTGCATGATCTGCCTCTGTTGCGATGGCTCTCGCGGCATTATCTGCTGTTGCCACCTTAATCACGCAACCTCCGCTTCCCCAGCTTGTCTCGTTCCCATCATCTATTGCACTACTATTACCACACTGGAAGCCGCTGCCTTGCTCATGGCCAGGTTTGGAAACGTTTTCCAGAATTATATGTAATGTATTGATAAGGGCTCATGATGTGAGTGACCCAGCCGTGGCCTCTAAAACAGATGCCACGCCGTCTGTGAAAGGCTCAGTGGGAAAGGCTCAGACTTCTGTCATTGCGATACCATCCATGCCAAGGATAAAAACACCTACCTACTATCCCCAAAGGAGCAGTGGGCTCCTAAACCTGTCCCAGAAGACGCCTACAGAACACAAACCTGCGGTTTGAAGTGTCCAGGAGGAGTTAGGTGAACTGGAGCTTCCTCAAAGATCCTATTTCTCAAAACTGACTCCCAAGATTAATCCTTTTACAAGGCGAATCGCGCGAACCGGAGGTTGTATGAAGCGAAGGCCTGCTGCTGCTGCTGTCGAGGGTGACGGCGAATCAAAGCTCAACAAGCGCCGCGAGCTAGAATGGAATAGAATTCTGTTTTCTGCCAGCAGTGCTGGGCTATGCCACTCTCAGACACTAATTCCTAATACTACTAAACGCCGCGCCAGCTGCGGAGGATTTTCCAAATCCGATGAGCTTGGAAAATGTCACAGAGACAGTCTACTATACATTCTAGTGTGACAGTCGACCTCGCCGAAGTGGAAAGGAGCCATAGGAAGGAAAGAAACTTGGATCATGCGACGCAACAACCCCCCCCCCCCCCCCCCTTGAGTCGTAGGGATTATGCGACAAACCCTCCCCTCGTAGGGATAATACGACGAATTTGGATCCATCCCAGACTAGCAGTCCGAAAAAAAAAAAACACTTGTTTCGTGAGTCTGATTCAGTCCGACATGGTCCGAAAACACACACACACAGACACAGACACATACACACACACACACACACACACACACACACATATACAGATATACACACACACACAGACACACACACACACACACACACAGACACACACACACACACACACACACACACACACATATACACACACACACACACACAGACACACACACACACACACACACACACACACAGACACACACACAGACACACACACAGACACACACACACACACACACACACATACACACACACACACACATACACACACACATACACACACACACACACACATACACACATACACACACACACACACACACACACACATACACACACACACACGCGCGCGCGCGCGCACGCACGCACACACGCACACACGCAGGGAAGATGAGTACCACGGAGGGAAGATAGGTACCACGAAGGGGCGCGCTTGATCTGACGGGTACCATTGAGCCACGTAGGTGTCTTCAGACATCAGCGAGTTCGATGTTGGTTACCTAGAAGGTAATCACCCCACAAAAATCGAATGAGAGAGGTTTCTGAGTCGGGAGTTTATGACAGATGGTTGGCTAGTTCTGGTTGTGTTGTGTGCACGTTTTCTCTTTAGCACAGTTTCGTGAGGACGTGTGCGTTTTTTGGGACAGGTGGCAGCTTATGTTGAGGTGTGCATGACAGGTGGCGCCAAAGTTGTGAGCCTTTCAGATGACGTTGAATTGGCGTTCATCTGTGGGGCACATTTTTTCCGCCATCCCTTCGATCGATTGTTCGGGGGGGTGGTTGGGTGGGGGGCGTTCGTTTGACTTACGAAATTGGCGAGGAAGGACTTACGAAACTGGCGAGAATTTCGCCTCCCCTTCCCCCTCGACCGATTTTTTTGGGGGGGGTGGGGGGGAGAGGGGGCGCGTTTGACTTACGAATTTGGCGAGGATCTCAAAACACTTACCATTAATTCGCGCGGAACCTGTTAAAAACGGATTCGATAATTGCCATCGACGTGAAGTATGGTAACTGTACTATAATTCATTGCATTCTATTCTGACTGTATTAAAAATGTTGGTGAGTCATACAACATCTATCGCGGTCGAAATTTATGCAAACCCATTAACATAAGCTCAGTTTTTTTTCATATGCATCAACAAAATCTTTGAAGGCAGTCTTAATTGAGATAAAATTTCTTCATGTTCCAAATCTGTTAACATCAGGAATCAAACTTACGACTTAGGACTGCAGACGTTTGGATGGACTAGGACATTGCGGGCTGGATAGGTATGACGGACATTTTTTTTAAGAGAATTGTTGACTTCGCGGGACAGTTTTAGGACGGAACGGTTTCGGGAACCACTGTATACCCTTCCGAAAGTCTCTTTCGGGCACGTAGACAGATGTGGGACATTTTCGAGAGCCCCGAAAAAGTCTTTGGGGAAGGCCAAAATGGGGGGACCTTAAACTTTAGTGGTAATAAAGTTTCTAAGCTCTCGTGAAAAATGAAAGACTGAGGCGGCTCTTAAATTTTCAGAAGGTCTCCCAAGAGGGGATACTAGAATTACCATTTCTTCCTGTCCGACATGGTCAGTGGTTTTGAGGCGACAAGGAAAATATTATTTCTGAGGCGAAAACAACTTGTTTTAAACGACTCATTGGTCGGACCACTTTCTCATGGAAGCTATTGCTGGCTCCGTGCACTAGTGGCACCTGTGCTGTCAGCAGTATGTTGCTGATAGTCGTGGTGTGCTTCTGGCGGTCTAACTAGTTCTGTACTACTAGTAGTACTTACAGTAGCAGCTTTGTACAACTGGCTGACTTGGTTTGCTGCATTGCACATTCCTGTTGCTCCAAACAAAATGGCATCTGGTTTTCCGAATGGGAAAGTATGTGCTGGCTACTATGATTTTAGGGTTCTCTCATATTTAGTCACTGGGTTTACTCAATCAGTGCGACTCATTGGGATTTCGTTCACGCGACCTCCCACATTATGTTCAAAGTTGGTACTGCAGTAAAACATTTTTGACACGTGTCAATGATTAGCAATAGATTTTACTTTTCCAAGCTCGAACTAATAACGCAGCCCGGAAAAAATAAAACCCCAAAGGAATTTGGACGCATTTTCGGGAGGGATGAACCCTGAACACAGGAACCCATTCTCCTGGTGTTTAGGGTTGATGCCTCCCCGAGTCGCATCCCTTTCCGATTGGGTTTTAGTTTTTGTCTGCGTCAGAAATGGACACGTGTCGAAAATTTTGACTGGCAGTATGTGTCGTGAACATAATCTGGTATGTGTTTTGAACGATTCATCCGAAAGCAGTAGTGTTCGAGTAAACCCGGGATGAAATGTGAACTTTTTTCAATAACCAGGTAGCCAGCACATACTTTCCCTTTCGGAATCCCAGAGTTTGGGAGCTGGGGGAAATATCTGCTGCTAGGGAAGGGGCAGGTCGCCCTCATTGTACCGTACTGAACCATACTCGTGCCTTCCCCGTCATGTGCACGGTTCAGGTTTCCACATGTGCAGTGAAGTGGTCATTCCCCTTGGTTGGGCTTATGTTGTTTTCCCCGTGACGGGGATGGTTAGTGTTTCGACATTTGGTGCTGAAGAGAGGCGCATGGAGAGTGTATCCTACAGTATCCGAAATGTATTTTGATGAGCAGGTGGAAGGAACAGTAAAAAACAAATACCGCGAGGATGTGATAACGGCGAAGGGCTTGGAGGGGCTTCTTTGTGTATTCTGATTGGTTGGCCTTTGCGTGATTCGCGTTGGGCTTGGTTTGGTTAAGAAAGTCGTACACTTGCTTGAAACCGCGGAGAATGGAGACTTTGGGGGAAGTCGAGCATCGTCGCGCGGTGACGTGGAAGGTAGCCACGCGTGTATTTCAATCCACGCGACGCGAATCAAGCAAAGATTCACCGTGGCATTGTCACGTCTTACGAAACTATTTGTTACGCGTCTTATAGAACATTCGCCTTATGAATGAACATTCCCAATGAATTATATTTTTTTGCGCGCACGAGCGCGCGCGCGCACACACACACACACACACACACACACACACACACACACACACACACACACACACATATACACACACACACACACGCCCACACCCACACCCACACCCATACCTGCACACACATATTATACACGCATCCACAAATCCACACGTACATATACACACGCGCACGCAAACAACACCCTTTATGATGAATCAATTGTACAAACAAAAGAATACATATTGAATATAAATAGGTAGGAGCTAAATACATAGCACCCTTATTCTTATTCCCTATGCTCCCCGTTATCCATCAAGAACCTCTCCAACGCATCAATAGTGTAGGTTCCAGCACCAGGGATAGGCGATGCTCCATTCTCGAAATCCCCTGGATGCGACAACGCTCCTGCGTCAGTCCCCTGTCCCCAAACCTCCAAACCTACCCTGTTGACTCCCAAGTGCTCCGTCAAGGGGGCCCCTTTGATAGGATTCTCGAAGCTGTGACAGGCTGCCCCGTGGATGCGAGAGGATGGGGAGGTGAGGCCCCAGGCAGCAAGTGCTGAGTGTTCCGCGTCCCTCAGGAGCAATAGGTTGGCTGAGTGGTGAGGAAGAGGAAGGCTCAAGTCTGCCACGATATGCTGCTGGGCAGAACAAAGGTGCTCAGCAGTAGGTTGGTCAATAGCACCAGCATTGTATGCAGGCTCGAAGTCCTCTATTGCAGGATCTTGCATTACAACATCTCCACCACTGCTGCCAGCATCACCAGTCTTGGAGACGTTGAAGTTCTTAGAGCCACCATGCTCCAAGGAATCACGCTCTGAGGCGTCAGCCCCACACTTCTCTGTGTTGCTGAATCCATGCAAGCTGGCCGCACCATCAGAGTTGGTGGGTGGTGTGGCAAGGGAAGAAGGGACACTGCGCAAGTGGGGGACAGCTTTGTCAGCACCAGCTCCGGCAGCAGCATTAGAAGCAACACCACCAGCAGTGGTGGCAGCAGCAACGCCACTAGCAGCACCACTAGCAACGCCAGCAGCAGCGCCAGGAGCAACGTCACCAGCAATGCCACCGGGAGTTGAGGTCACAGCAGAGGAGGTGAGAGTGGCATGTGCTATGGGGGGAGTGGACTGATTGCGGAAGGGCAGATGCTGGTGGAAGCGAGTGAGCTGCTCTTGATGCTGCTGCAGCAGTTCAAGCTCCTCTTGCTGGTGCACCAGCTGCAATTGCTGCTGCAAAATTGAATGCGGCAGCTTCTGCTGCTGCTGCTGCTGCTGCTGCTGCTGCTGCTGCTGCTGCTTCCACTGCTGCTGCGCCATCTGTCTATCATCCAGCAATGACCTCTGCTGCCCCTCCAGCCTTCCGCGCTGTAGAAACCCTTGTCCGTAGCTCCCGGCAGGTAACCAAGGCCGCTTGTGCAATCGCTTGTGCAGCTCTTGAGCGTACTTGCTGGGTGGAATTATGGGCTGCAGTGTTGATGCAAGCGGCATTGTGCTGTCCACATGTCTTGCTCCCATTGGTCCCGGATCATGCGACTGTGATCTCCTCACCCTGCGGAGAGGGATAGTAGAATTCTGCTCGGACACATCAGGACCAGCAACACCAGAGACACCTGCAACACCAGCAACACCAGCCACACCAGCAACACCAGCCACACCTGCAACACCACCAACGCGTGCAGCACCAGCAGCGCCACCAACAACACCAGCAGCTGGAGAAGGTAAATCATCCGTAGGTCCAGCAACACCCATTCCACTTGCAACACCAGCACCATTTGTAACACTCACACCATTCACACCACCTGTGTTTCCCACACAGGGCTGGGACTCAGGGGTTGAAGAACAACTGACTTCCGGTGGCTCCAGCGGCAAAGATACAGTGTGGCTACAGAGCATCAGAGGTGCAGGAGGCTTGGAATTAGGCTTGGGTTGACGCTCAGTCCAAGGGCTGTAAAGTTGAAAATATTTGCTGTCTCTTTCCAAGTCTGGGGTGTCGATTGACACCATCTGCTGCTCCCTCCAGTTTTTCATGGGTAACTCTTCACGTGTGAGGTCTGCAGAAGCACACCGTGCAGCTGCCTTTCCCCTCCTTCCAGTGTTGAGATTGAGAGAGTTGCGTCCCAGAAAGCTCAATGCATGCAGCTGCTACTGCTGCTGCTGCTGCTGCTGCTGCTGCTGCTGCTGCTGCTGCTGCTGCTGCTGCTGCTGCTGCTGCTGCTGTTGTTGTTGCTGCTGCTGCTGCTGCTGCTGCTGCTGACATTGTTTCTCCCCATGGTGCTGCACATGCTGTTGACCCTGCTGTTCCTCCTGCCCCTGCTGCTGCCACTGCCACTGCTGCTGCTGGTTCTGGCGATCCTGATGCACGTGCGGAATCACAACAACTGAAGATCTGCGGGGCATGGTAAAAGCATACCGCATGCCACGATCATCCCTCTGAAGGGACCCAAATGGGGACATCATGGCAGGCGCATGCTGCATCGTTTGAGCATGCCAACTTGAAGGCGTTTTTAAAGCTGAACCTGCCATGCCGGGTACCTCCATCTCCTCTCTTGCTTCAGGCAGGGAATGATCCTGACCAGGCGCCATAACCCCCCCGGACACCACGACACTGAAACCCCATGAAACGGCTTGTGGTTCGCTTGGGACTGGCAGCCCTGCTGTTTGGGGACTAGCCAACGATTGCTGCCCTGCCAACACATGCTTGTCTATTCCCGTCCTTGTCTCCATCGCACTCACCACCTCCATCTCACCCTCCTCCTCTATCGCACCTTCACCGTCAACAGTCTCTCTGCTTCCACTGCTTTCTTCCTCTGAAGGCATCTCCCGTTCTTCCACTGACCCCACTCCTTGCCTCTCCTTGCCTTTCGCAGTATCACCAACCCCACTCCCTCCAGCCCCATCGGTTTCGTCAATTGCCCCCAGCTGCTGTGCAAAGTGCTCTGCTAGTAAAGCGCTCCACTCCCTCTCACCGTCTGCCAAACCCTCAAATCCCATCTCCTCGAAATGCATCTCCTCAAATCTCTTCATATCTGCTCCCAGTGCATCCAATCCCAACATAGCCGGTCCAGTTACTATCGTACTTGGCATCTCCTCCGGTGGGACAGAGCACGGATTCATGGTGGCACCAGTGAACATTAGGTTGCATTCTAGGGTGTGAGTGGGGAAAGTGGCATGAGGATGGTCGCCGCTGGTGAGTGCAGCTTCAGGGATCGGAATATCAACTAAGGTGGATGGAAGGGCAGTGACAGTGGCGGAGGAGGCAGAGGCGGAATTAACAGATACAGAAGGGGCAGAGGAGGAGGAAGGTGCAGCTAAGCTCGAGCTACTACCGCTTATATTGGAGCTTCGTTCGGGAATGTATACTCCTGCTTTGCTCCCACTATCACTGCCTGCAGACGTTTCTCCTGCTAATTCTACTACTCCTGCTCTTTTTACTTCTCCTCCTCCTCCTCCTCCCGCTCTTCTTCCTCTTGCTCCTCCTCCCCCTCTTCTTCCTCTTCCTCCTCCTCTTTCGCCTCCTTCCCCTCCCACAGGTGCAGCTAGTACTGAAGGTGTCCCTATAGCCTCTGATCCGGCACCTGTTCCTTCTGCAGATGCTGTCACAGCCCTACTTGTACCCTCTCCAAATGGCCTTTGCATCGCTGTAAAGTTCGCTGCTGCCTTCCTACTTGTTCCCCCTCCGAACAGTCTGTGAGGTCTGTGAGGCACCGCAAAAATCGCTGCTACGTCTCTATTTTGTCCCTCTCCCTGCAGTCTTGTCTGACCCACAGCCTCTTCCACAGCATCCTTACCAAGCCCTACCTCCTTTCCTTTCCCTCCACTGCTCCTAGTACTTCCTCCATCCCCAATCTCTCTTACAACTCCCACACCATCTTCTCCGCCACCCTTCCTTGCATCCGTTTCTGCTGATTCCATCTTAGCTGCTGTTTCTAATAGCGCTGCACAATCCGAATCTACTATCGCTCCCCCTTTCTGAATATGCCTCTTTGGGAAGTTAAGGTTTGCCTTTGCTCCTCGGATAGTCAAAGCAGCTTCGTCAAAGGCCCGAGCAGCCTCCTCTGCTGAAGGGAACGTGCCTAACCACCTGCGGACTCCACTTTTTGTGTCTTTAATCTCAGCAATGTAACGAAACTCCCCTCGCTTCCTCACTCCCCGGTACTGCCCTGGCTGGTTGTAGTTGCGGCTGCGCGCCATTCTGGTGCGCCTACTACTAGTCCCACGCCCTGCACCAGCCGCTTCAGCCTCGCTTTGAGGCAATTGTGGCTGTACCAGCGGCTGTAGCTGCGAGGAGAGCTGCTGGATTCTGTGTGGTGGTAGCTGCTCTGTCTGAGCCTGTAGCTGTGACAGGAGCTGAGCCTGTAGCTGTGCCTGTGGCTGTAGCGGTGCCTGTGGCTGTAGCTGTGCCTGTGGCTGTAGCTGTGGCTCTGGCTGTTGCTGTGGCTCTGGCTGTGGCTCTGGCTGTGGCTGTGGCAGTGGCAGCAGCGTTGTGTAGTTCTGCCCTTGCATTTGCTGCTGAGACATCATCTGCTGTTGTGGCATCTGCTGCTGTGACATTTGCTGCTGTGGCATGTGCTGCTGTGACAGGGAGACCTGCTGCTGTGACATTTGCTGTTGTGACATCTGCTGCTGTGACATGATATATTGCTGTGAGATCTGCTGTGATATATTTTTTGCTCTGGGTGCCTGCTGCAGATCTTGCAACAGCTGCAGTGGAATCTTCTTTTGTGACACCTGTTGCTGCAACTGCTGCTGCTGGGTGCCTCCAACTAATGAATCAGACGCTCTTTGAAGACCTAGGCTGCTATGAGGGCAGATGTTGCTCTTAAATATATAAAACCTGAAGCCCCCCCCTCCTGGACTCCCAAAAAAGGCCTGCTGTCTACGTTTTTGCCCCCCCCTCCCCCCCCCCCCCACACACACAGACACAGACACAGGCACACACACACACACACACACACACACACACACACATGCACACACACACACACACACACACACACACACACACACACACACACACACACACCAACTGATTATGAAGCCAATGAAGCTGCTGCCAACTAGATTGCTAATTTTTAGCCTCTTAATGTACCATTACTGCTAGGAAAGTTGAAGCATTCTTGAATAACGCCTCGTAAAATGCAGCCTACTAGTAACTTGCCAGACAGGCTGCCGCGATTCGCGGGGCAGGAGCTCTAACTTGTATTAGTGCTGTGCTCTGTGGCTGTAACATACGACAGTTCTAGTAACTATGAGAAGCCTAGTATCCGTTGTAGCAAAACTTGAAGTTTTGTAGAAAGTTGGGTCCAGTGGACTTGGGTCTAAGATTGAATGGGTTGCTGCACATTCCAACTTGGAACTTGATTCTGTTGCTCCACTTCAAAATGAGCTCTGGTTTTGTGAGCTCTGGTTTCCAGCAGTTCACTTGGAGGGAAGTGCAATGTTGGGGATTGGGGCAAAGTGGGCAGCCAATCGCATCGCTTGGATGCACTTGTTTGTCTTTCCCGTCACGGGCACGGATCAGGGTTTTGTTCAGCACACGTACGCTGCAAGTGGCTATGCTCTGCCGTTGGGTTGGACCCGTCACAGAGACGTTTCAGGGATTCTGGAAGTGCGTGAACCTCCAATTTGCGACTGGTTACGAATTGTCGCCAATGTCGCATGGCTAGCTGGTAGCATTGACGAAATCGGAATCGGAATCGGAACAGCGTGAGTCGTGACACTGTTTGCAAGATGTGTACTCTACTATCATTGGACGATGGGAGTGATCTTGGCGAAGGGCATGGAATGCTCCTCCTGACGCAGCTTCGCCGTGTGGCGTGATGTTATTGGCCTGCCGCGGCCTTGGAGTGCTGAAGGGCTGTCGTCAGGCTTGGGTTGGCTTTCCCCCAAGTAGCACGTGATTCTTCTCACGTCAAACAGGCTCATATGGCGCGCATTCATTTGAGGCGTTCTCTTTATGGGCAATACTGTTCAGTGTATTGCTACTCCGTTAGAGTTTGCGGAGTAGTATGTGTATGATGTAAAAACATATGAAGTACACACTGCACTCCACACTACATTCGGGACCAAATCAACACCAATGCATTCCCGGAGACATTTCAAGCCTGTCAGCCTCTCATGTGAGCATGTCGGCCCTGTTCGATAGGCTAACACTTTGCAAAAGGCTAGTGTTAGATGTGTTACGAATAGTAACATTTAATTGTTACTGAGCACTCCTCACCGCAGCAAAGAGAAGCACGCAGTATCGAAGCAAGAAAGCGAACCGTCAGACAGTTGGAGTTTGACTCGAAGTGTCAGACAGTTGGGTCGCATCTGGACCGTCGGAAGCATACGGCATCGGACAGCTGCAGGCAGGATGTTTTGGCGGGAACAGTTACGAAACTGTACGCGCCGCACGGTTGGGAATGTATTTGAATAAGGGAATGTACCCCTTAGAGTACATGGCTAGTTAGGTCGCTTCGTATTCCCTTGTACCCATATTTATACTTGCTGTATTTGCATGTTTTAATCATCTCAAGCATTTTACATTCACTCTGCTATTGAGGTCACGGGCCCACCAACTACATTTCCCTGTGTGCGAACCTTCCCGAGTAGATCCTGGTTAGCGATCATTCTCTGATCGTAGCATGGTATGAGAGCGGCTCGGGAATCCTTCGCAACACCACTCCCGAAAATTACGACATTCGGAAAGTGGCGTCCGGCACACGCTCGCGTGTGAGAATGGCCGGAGGATCTGGTGGTCAGACTAATCTGACGGCTGAAGCGCGCACCAACCCGGCTGCGACAAGCGAGGAAACAACTTCGATCGGCACCGAAGTCCTCGCACAACTTCTTCAGCGACTCACCAGCCTGGAGCAAGGGCTCCAAACATTGCGGAACGGCGATGCGGGAACATCCTCGCAACCAACCCAACCGGGCCCAACTGGGCAGAACACCGTCCCGCAAACCTTCTCCCTCGACACAAATGGCTCAACCCCCAAGGCTCCCCGTCCCAGTGAAGAAGCAATTCTCTCCGCTCAATCAAAGTTTCTGAGCATATCAAAAATAAAGACAAGTTCCAGCTTTGACGGCAAAGACTTCTATACCTGGAGCTTCGAATTGGAGCTCCTGCTGCAGAACGCCCAAATCTTCCATTACTTCGACGGGAGCTACGCCGAGCCTGCCGAGGACACCGACGACGCCAAGGCGAGGTATTACAACGAATCACTGATGGCGTACGGGGTGCTCCTGCGGAATATGGCACCGGCGGAGCAGCTCAACATTCGTTCGTACAAAACGACAGCTGCTCCAGCCCTCAACGCCTGGCGACATCTGACAGGAGTGTATCAGCCCAAGGACTCTGTCTCCTCGAGCCGACTGCTCCAGGAACTCCTGGAAACCAAGATGATCTCAGGGGAGAAGGTCAACACTTACCTTAATCGCTGTCGGAGCCTTCGCGATCAGATCGTGAAGTTGGGAAGCACGATATCTGAAGAAATCTTCGTTAACATCGTACTTCAAGGGCTCGGCCCAGAGTGGCGGCCCTGCAAGGCGCTTCTCCGACAGCAGGGGGTCATCTCGGAGGCCGCCCTTTGCGCCGCCCTTCTCGTCGAACAACGGGATATGGACCAGCAGCGACCAGCGCCACGACGAGAAAGAGAACGGATCGCCTTCTACGCCGACAACAACGAAGAGCGACGTCCGAGGCGCCTCTACTGCAAAATTTGCAGGACTTTCGGGCACCTGGCGGATCGATGTAAATACCGATCTCGCCCTCGCCAGACCAATCCGAGCACTTGGCCCGGCCAACAAGACGCACGAGGCGACGTGCGTCCAGCCCAAGGGTATCAACCCCAACCCGCGCGCAACCTGAACCCCGCGGTTCAGCATCAGCAGCAGCAGCCACCATCGACTGCCCCAGTACGCGATGTCACGAGCAACATGGCCATGAGAGGCGAGTCCCGTCGTCGCCGCGTGCGCTCACCATCACCTGAGCCAGCACCGCATCCCATTGGCGCGTTCTCTAACAACAACCCATTCAGTCCGCGCCACGACTTCACCGACGACGACGACCAGGACTGGAATCTCCCAGTCCCGCTGCTTGAGAGTCCCCCGCACGTGCCTGACATGCGGGTGGCGCCACTTGATTGGCTCTCGCGCGAGCAATTTCTGAAGTTCGACACTGCGCATATCGTCACGCCGCGACTGGCGCTGCTCGCACGTGACAACAACAAGCGCTACAACACCTGGTACCTGGACAGCTGCTGCGGCCAGCATATGGTAGGCTCCGAGCGTTACATATCCAACGCCGTCGCCACCCCCACAGTCACTTACGTCACAGTGGCGAACAACACGCGCCTGCGCGCAAGCGCGCAAGGCATCGTTGTGCTCAAAGCACGCGGAAGCCGCACGCACATCACGCTCAACGATGTGCTGATAGTCCAGAACCTGCGCTTCAACCTCCTGTCCGCCGCACAGCTCATGGACTGCGGCGTCGAACTCAGCACAGATCGCGCGACGCGCGACATTCTGCTGCACTACGAGTCGCACACCTTTACCCGCAGGCAGATCGGACGAGCACACTCCGAAAATGGAGTGTACATCCTGGATTTCGATATTCCCGACTGCAGCGGCGACTCGCACGAGCTGATTGACCTCGTGCCACTGCGATTCGAACACATCCACCGCAGGGACTGGAAGCACCCTGACGGCAGGCCGTGGGTGCCGCATCATCCCCACCCACGCGAAACGGAACTTCACAACCCCGATCCAGATGGCATCTGCAGGGATTGTCACACGCCGACGACCTCGACGAGCGCGATTGCAGGCCGCGGACTCGCCGCCATCGCGGAAGCAGAGCGCAACGCGCCCCCCGAGGAAGGGATGTCGCAACTCGAACTCGAAGTCACCACGCATGGCGTGTTCGGGACGCCTAAGCACCCCCTCACAGGTCCCCCTTCTCAACATCTTCGAGGGATGCTTCGTGGAACTGGTGTCGGTACCTTCGATGCGCGTGGCATCCCACGCCCCTACACCCGCGAGAATTTTCTGCGATTTACCCACATTGGCGCGACCCCACGGCAACACTTACCGTGGAACAGGAGGAAGAACTGGCGCGCCGCGAAGCCGAGGAGCTTCGCCAACAGAGCCTCGCCGAGGCACGCGGAACGTTCACCTGCGCCGCATGGGGCGCCGAAGCTGAAGAAAGCGCCACCAATGAAGGGGGGTGGGAAAACGTCGGCGGTTGGGGAACGACTGAGGCTGGCGACTGGGCAACCGCAACCGGCGAATGGGGCGCCACATCTGGCGCTGACACAAGTGGCCGGGGCACCCCTACTAGAGGCTGGGGGACTTCCCGCGAAGACCAAAGGGGGGGAGAAGAAGAAGCTGGAGAGTCAACAGTTGTTCCCCTCGGTCGTCCCCCACGCCATGTCCCACTCGCGTTACCTCCTCCTGATAACCCACCGCGCCGCGATCCATGGGACACCATCGCCTGGGGCAACGAGCCGTCAACCCCGCGTCGCACTGCTTACGGACCGGCTCCCGAACCACGCGAACCAACCTTCGTCCCTGGAACCATCCCTGGGACCAACATCCCACTCTCTGAGATTCGCGACAGAGAGTTCCTGGCGCTGATG